AAATCGGTTTGTATGGGAGGTGCCACGCCCCCTTTTCCAATAACCACCATTTTTCTCCATGAGTATGCGATTGGTTTGATATATCTCCATGCCAAGTTAGAGTACTCTACCATGAACACTTCCAGAGATATGTAGTATGAAAAAATCGGTTTGTATGGGAGGTGCCACGCCCCTTTTTCCAATAACCACAATTTTTCTCCATGAGTATGCCATTGGTTTGATATATCACCATACCAAGTAAGAGTACTCTACCGTGAACACTTCCAGAGATATGCAGTATGAAATATTCGGTTTGTATGGGAGGTGCCACGCCCCCTGAACCTAGCGATATGAAATATACTTTACATCCGATTCTCATACCTACCAAATATACACAAAAAATTTCATAAAGATCGGTCCAGCCGTTTCGGAGGAGTTCGACCACTAACACCGTGACACGAGATTTTTATATATTAGGCATTGAAATGTCAAAAAATGTATGCCATTTAAAATAATGCGCAAATGAACTTAATGACTATTTTTTAATGTAATGACACGATTTTTTTTTTTTAAATATGTAAATATTTTTTAAAGCTGCTTTATTTTTTATGAATAAAGCTATTAGAATATAAATAACGTAAAGATATAATTCTGCGCAACGACTTGGCGCATGGTCAGGCAAAGCATGCATGTATGTACATCAATTAAATTTACTTCTTTTTGCCAACTGCTGCTACCACCCGCTTAGCTCTTGCTGGAGTGGCTGTTTTATCAGCAGATTTAGTGGGTGCTGCCGCAGCTTTCGCAGCTTGTTGAATTTTTTCAGGAGAATCCAATTTCTCTTCTTCCACAGCAGTCAGTTCAGCATTACTAATAGAAGGTTTGACATCCGCATCTGCATTAACATCTCCATCACCATCCACCACCATGCCATCGGTTGGTTCCGGTGATGGCGTTGCACGCACTGTATCCGGATCATCATCCTCAACAGCATGCTCTGTTGATTGGCTCTCATCCTCAATCACAGCTAAATGATAGAGCGCTTTCTCTTCATCCGAAATCGGTACTGGCGCGTTCGAGAGCGGATCAACTCCATTCAATGACTTAGGGAATGCAATAACATCACGCATTGTGCGAGCGCGACAAATGATCGCAATTAGACGATCGAGTCCAAGTGCAATGCCGCCATGCGGTGGACAACCAGACTCCAGAGCGCTCAACAAATGACCCAAATGCTCATGCGGTATTTTCAGTATGTGCACGAGCACAAAATGTTGCATATCGCGATCGTGTATACGTATCGAACCGCCGCCAACCTCCTGCCCGTTGAGTACCAAATCGTAGGCTTGTGAACGCACCTCTTCAAGTTCATTTTCCTTGGCGTTCATGAATTTTTGCATATCATCAGGATGTGGCGCTGTGAATGGATGGTGCACGCTCTCCAATTCATTCGTTTCCGGATTGCGCTCAAACATGGGAAAATCTACCACCCAACAGAATTTATTTTCCCTCTTCTCACGCTTTGTATTCTCCAATTGGAAGGCATGGTATTCGAGGCGTATGCGACCCATAAGCGCACGCTGCGAAAATGGGTTAAGGTGAATTAGGCTGCATTCCAAAACGTCAAAATACAAATCATCAGTCTCTTTTATTTCTAAACCGCACTAGGAGAAAAAGTCCAACTTGCGCAAACTAGTTGAAAATTAGCATCTAAACATGGTTGCGAACATTTGGCATTACAATCTGATGAGGTTTAGAAATGAAAGAGACTGATGCTTTGTATTTTGACGTTTTGGAATGCACCCTTAATTATCCAATTGAAATGTGGTGTGGTAAAGCACACCCAAGCCATACATACCACTGCGCGCATTTCGCCTATGCCAAGAAATATTAAATCGTTTTCTTCCAAAACAAATTTCTCAATCAGCTCATGTGCCACATCATTGGTCAGGAAATTTGTTAAACGTTCTAGCACATCTTTGTATTCCTGTAGTGGGAGAAGAGTGGTGGGTCAAATAGATTAGTGCATTAAGAAAAGATTATCGACCGGCTCAATAACTTACCATAAATTTGCGCACAAATAGTGAGCAGCTGAATTCCTTGCTGAGACTCTCGTAACGTTTACGCGTAGCATTGTTCCAAACAGCATCAGTGCCACGCACAACAATAGCATAGGCGGCTAGGTCATTGTACTTCTGGGCAAAGGTCTCGTTTTTCTGAATAATTTCGGTGACATTGGTCATCTAGAATTTCGAATACTAATTGCATAAATTCTGCTTTGTTGAAACCAAAAATGCATTTTCACAACTCACAGTGAAACCAAAGCGTGTATCAGGCTTATCGGTACCATACTTTTCCATGGCCTCCTCGTAGGTGATGCGCCGGAAAGGCGTCTGTATAGGTGGAAATTGCTTTGGCCACGAATAGCGAAACACCTCCTCGATCAGCTGCATGACATCTTCGCGCGTTGTAAAGGACAATTCAATATCGAGCTGTGTAAATTCTGGCTGACGATCAGGACGTGTGGCCTCGTCGCGATAGCAACGTGCAACTTGGAAGTAGCGATCTATTGCCCCAGCCATTAACATTTGCTTAAATTGCTGTGGACTTTGCACCAATGAATAGAAGTGACCGGGCTTGCGTGTGGGCACAACAAATTCCTGTGCCCCACCAGGAGTGCGACGGAATAATGTAGGCGTCTCGACTTCAACAAAACCCAAATAGTTAATAAGATATTCACGCATACGCATAATCACAGCGGAACGCGTGCGTAAATTATTTTGCATATCGGTGAATCTGTAGGTAGTAATAAATAAAAAGAAACTTGATACATTGTTTGTGTAAATATACGCCGCTTCACATTTACCTCAAATCCAGGTAACGATGTGTCAGACGCAAACGCTCGCCAGCACGATTGTAACGCCGCACCTCAAATGGCAAATTTTTCTTAGCTGCATTGAGCACCTCCACCGTTTCTGCCTCAATTTCAATATGACCAGTTTTCATGTTATTATTTATGGTGGAAGCGGGTCGCGGTATAACCGTACCTTCAACACGTATAATTGACTCTAATGAAAAACCTTCAGCATAATTTTCCACGCCTTTGGCTTTAGCCGTGATCAACACTTGCGTTTGCCCATAACCGTCACGCAGTATGAAGAATTTACCCATACG